CAGCAGAAATTTAGAGAATCATCAATATCTACTTCGAGAACATTTATGCCAATAAGATGGAAAATACAGAAGAAATGGACAGATTCCTAGATTCGTATGAATTACCAAAGTTGAACCGAGGTGACCTAAAAATTCTAAACTACCCAGTATCAATCAATGAAACTGAAAATAATTAAAAAACATATCAACTACAATTGAAAAACTTATTCTTAAGATGGCAGTATATCCCCAATGGATCTACAGTTTCAACACAATCCTTATCAAAGTCCAAGCTGAGCACTTTGCAAAAATTTGAGCCCTGAAGGACAGGGCTGCATCACCAATGCCAAAAGTACAAAAGAGCTCATGAACTTTCAAGGCTGAGACTGCTAACTGTCCCTAGTGCCTAAGGGATAAACCACTTCAAAATGTAGTGGCTTACACAAGGATTTAATATCTCTAGGAGTCAGTGGCTGGGCTCGGCTGGTATGTCCTGCTGAACGTAGTCCTGGCAGCCAGTGTTCCGGCAGCTACATCCAGCTGGTGGCTGGATCTGAGTCATGGCTGGGTGGCTGGAATGGGCCACAGCTGCCAGGCCAGCCCGCCCCCGTCATATCCCCTCATTATTCAGTATTCTTATCTGAGTTTCTTTATGTGAATTCTGGACCCCAAAATAGTAACAGAATAAGGCTCCCTACTCTCCTAATGAAGGGCCCAGAAAAGGCTAGAAATGGCACCCGGTTGTACTGGCTACAGAAAGTCTCAGGCCAGTGTCAACAGGACTCAGTAAAAGGAGGCAATTCTGTGATGGAGCCTTGGTAACAGGAGGACTAATGGAGGCAACTACACTTCCATTCATTCACACCTGGTTTTCTGGGTCTCTGTTATATGCAGCTGAACTTAAATAACAACAGATACGTTTCCTAATAGCAAATATTTCTGTTTGAGTTTTCATTTTTCCTAAGCTCTGTTTTACTTTATAGTCATACAAACTCATTTAGTATACATATGTATCTTACATATGTATTTATATCTGGAGCCAAGTTGATTCCTTTCTGGAGACAGAGAAATAAATGTTACAGGTAGGTCTTGGAAGTAAAATTATTTACAAACCTCATAGCACCAGGCTACTGTATAAAGTTGCCACAGTTCCTGATAAAATAGTGTTCCGCATTTCTAAGAAAAAATGAAAAATCCTGTGTAATTTCTTCAGTTCCTCCTAGATCCTAAACCTCCATTCCTTGCCCAAGCACCACAGAACTCTAAATCACTCTGTATTCAGCCTGACCTTTTCTATTGCGATAAAAATAATAACACAGAATTTACCATCCTACCATGTGAAGTATCTTTCACGCATGTGAAGTATATAACATTTTCATGCAACCAATCTCTCAAATTTTTTCATCTTGCAAAACTAAATCTCTATACGCCTTAAAAACATTCCCCATATTGATTTCTATAAAAGTTGCGCTAGTTTACACACCCACCAGCAATGTAGAGGAAACAAGCTTAAACACCATATGGCTTCTCATGTGAGAAATCCAAACTATAAATAAAGAGCAAAATAAAAGGTAGATAAAACAGGGAGATAGACCTTTTGCAAATGGGAAGAGGATCAAGAGATGGGTAATGGAATGGAGAGGGTGCCGTACATGCACCTAATACTCACAATGACAGTTGTCCTTATGCACTAAAACATATAGTAATGAATAAAAAGCACTCTCCAATTCTCCTTGACAATCCCCTGGTGCTCATCATTCCATTTTCCATCTCTATGAACTTGACTACTCGAGATGCCTCGTATATGTGGAATCACACGGCATCCATCCTTTCGTGGCCGGTTTATTTCACTTAGTACAAAGTTGTCAAGGTTCCTTCACGCAGCCTATGTCAAGATTCCCTTGCCTTTAAGGGTGAACTGTATTACACTGCACAAACATACCATAGTGTGTTCGCCCTTCCATCCACACATGGACACCTGGCAGTCTCCACCCCTGGTTGATGTGAATGTGGATGGATGTGCAAAGGAGAGCTTGCTTGGTTTTTGTGAACTTCTCCAGGCGCCTCCTGGCTCTCTTCCCCTGAGCTTATCTTTCTACACACACCTCTGCACCAGCACTCTAAGTTTAATGATTAATTCTAAAACCTACTGACCATGGGCTGGGGATTTAGCTCAGCAGTTTGGTGGCCTGCCTTGCAAGCGCAAAGACCCAAGTTCAATCCCCGGTACCGCCCCCCGAAAAAAAACCTACTGACCAGGCCAATTAGCCAGGCAGGGAATGGCCAGGTGTTTGGTCCTACACAGGAAGACGGGAGATGTCACCCACATATGCAACTCCAGATCACATTAGAAGTAAGCAGCAGAGTCCGGACCTGACATCCCTCCCCTGCGCTCCACAAACTTGAAAGTGTCGGGTAGCCACAGTGATAGTGAGGCCTGGGCTGCTGGGAGTTGTGCACCCAATGCCCTGCACTTCTGTGATCTCTGACTGTTTGGGAATGCCCTCAGGTTTTTGAGTTCCCATCATCTTAGGTTGTGAGACATGTAGGAGAAAGTAATGGGAGACCTGACCAGAGAGAGTGGCTTCATGCCAGGACCTTGAGTTGGAGGGAGCAGAAAATCTCATTTATAACTTTAAGAGCAGGAAAAGCCAGATAGCCCAACTAAGAGGAAAGAGCTTGAACTGGGGTTTCTAAGGGATAATATAGCATTTAGAGAAAAATCTATTTAGTAGGTATTAAGCCCTATGCCAGTCAGTATGATCCCCAATCTATAAAAAGACATAGTTTCTACTCTCAAAGAACTGGCAGTCCAGGGAGGGAATGGGCTAATAGGTAAATACCTGCAAGGCAGTGGCTAATGCCCAAGAGAAAGTCATTGTGGGACAGTGGGGCCCTCCAGACCAGACTCTAGACCTACCCCAGGGCCCTGGGAAGTTATGATTTTGTAGGCCTGTGAGGCTGGGCAGAAGGACTGAAGGCAGCATAAAAGTATAAAGGCACAGTGACCCTATGAAACTAGAGAAAGGGAGAAGGGCAAGGATGCCATGTTAGCTTTCCTGTCACTAAAACAAAATACTTGACATTAGAAAGTCAAAGAAGGAGAGGCTTCTTTTGGCTCACAGTTTCAGTGGGTTCAGTCCATGGACATCTGGCTCCAAGGCAGAAACACCATGTTGAAAAGGTCTGGCAGAGGAAAGCTATTCATGCCATGGTGACTAAGAAATGGAATAAAAAGAAAGGAGCCAGGAACAGAAAACACCTTCCAAGTCATGGCCTCAGAAATCGACATCCAACAACACACTAACAGCAAGTCAGCTATAGCAACCCTATGATCCAGTCACCTTCCAAACACAAGCAACATTTGGGAGATATCTTAGATCTAAACCATAACATTCTGCTCCTGAGCCCCAAAGGACTCATGTCTATCTCTTTATCCAAATGCACTTAGTCTAGCTCTAAGAGTTGTCAGTCTTAAAAGCATTTCTTAAAACTCCAGAATTTTTTTATTTTATTTTTTTGGGGGGGTGGTTACTGGGGATCAAACTTGGGACTTTGCACTTGTGAATTAGGCAGCAGCACCACTGAGCTAAATCCCTGGCCAAGATATCCAGCATTTCTTAACAGTCCAAGTCCAAAGCATCCTTTGAGGCTCAAGGCAAATTCTCAGCTGTGTCCCTGATTAAAATAAAAAAGAAAGTTGAACACTTCTATAGTGGCACCAAGTAAACATTACCATTCTAAAAGGGAGGAATAGGGGAACACAGAAATCAGACCAAAGCAAGACTGAAACCTAGCAGGGCAAACATTAAATCCTGAAGCTCCATGTCCAGTACCTGGGACAGGCTATGGTAAAAAGTGATCTTGAAAGGCTTGAGCATCTCTACCCCTGTGGCACTCCTGTTTGCAAGCCAGTAGCCTCTCTTGGGCTGGCTACACTCTCTTGAAGTTTCACATTCCTGACATTCTCAACTTCCTAAAATCTCCATTGTGGCTTTGGCTTCACTCTCACAGCTTCATGCTTCACCCTCTGGGGGCCTTCTGAATCTAAATGGGATTCTAAAAGGCCTTCTGAATCTCCATGACCCCATAACTCTTGCATTTTTCATGCCCATAAAACCAAGACCAAGGTCAGATTTCAGTGAGAGCAGTAGTCAGCCCCCTTGGGTGATGGCTATAGAGGATTCCAAGTGCCTGGATGACAGAGCATTGTGAAACAAATCCTAAGAATCAATTCCCTAAGCAGTTCTTCTTGATTAGGGGCCAACGAGCTCTCTTCTCAAATGAAAGCTTTACATTTTTGTACCTCTGACCTAGGGATGAGTGGAATCTTACTGATTCCTGAGATGCCCTCAAGCCATCTTTCCAATTATCCTGATGTAAAGTCTCTTTTTAATGCTAATCTTTTCAGCAACCAACCTCTCTCTGGTCCTAACTTTGCAGACACTTTCCTTCCCTTGAAACTGTACATTTTTCAAATTATTTAGCTCTAATTTTTGTTCCCAATTTTTACATAAATTTGGGTAAAAGCAGTAACAGTACCTGTGCCATAGCCTGAACTTCAGATTGCTTTGAAATTTCTTCCACTAGATTAATCCACCACCTTTAATCTCAGTCTTTTGCAAAATCTTAAAATACAAGAAAATGAAGACAAATGTTCTGCCACCTTGTGATACACATGGTCTCTCGTTTAGTGGCCGATAGAGTCTCTCTCATTCCCAGCTGAAACTTTCTGAGCCGGCATTTCTTGTCTGCATTCCATCAGCATTCTGACCTTCTAAGCTTGGCTTACAACACTCTAGGGCTTTTCTAGCCAGTATCTCCAAACCTTTTCAAATTTCTCCTCTCACAAAGCAGTCCAAAGACTTACAAACCATGTAATCAGATACAGTCAGTGAGAGAGAGGAGAGAGAGAGAGAGAGAGAGAGAGAGAGAGAGAGAGAGAGAGACAGAGAGAGAGAGAGAGAGATGCAGAAGCCAAGCACAGAATATACCCTTCTAGGCACACCCCAGTGACTCACCTCCAGCCAGTTTCCACCTCTCAATAGCATGTCAGCTATAGCATCCTCATGATTCATTCACCTTCCAAACACATAAGACATTTGGGGGACATTTTAGATCGCCATCACAATGGCAAGATAAAAGTTCCTGTGGCCAAATGTGAGGGCTGTGTGCTTGCAATTGCCAAGAAAAAGAGGCTATCAGGTTGCATGCAGAAGTTCTTTCCAGTCATACCGAGAAAGATGGAGGCAAAGGAGGAGGCTGGGCCCAGGAAGACCCGTTAAGAGACTGTGGCAGCCTATTTTAGGTCAAGTGTGAGCTCATAGCCTAACTCCCAAATTCCTGTTGAAATTTTAAGAGAATTTTTTAAAGTGTTTATTTATTTTTTTGTCTGGGTTTTTTTGTTTTTGTTTTTGTTTTTTTTTTTTGAGACAGGGTCTTGCTATGTAGTTGAGACTGATCTGGAACTCACTAGGTAGCGCAGGCTGGTCTCAAACTCACAGCAATCCTCCTGCCTCAGCCTCCCGAGTACTGGGATTACAGGTGTGCGCTACCACACCCGGCTTTAAAACGTTTTTAAATGGAAAATAAACTACATTGATGCTGGATGATAAAATGAAAGAGTGCCATCCACAGGCCATAATGAAGGAAATTTCTTCAGGTGCTGCTAGAGATGAATATGGTGCCTGCCTGCCCTCGATGTACCACCCATAACCTCCTCTACCAATGAGTGTAGAGCAGAGGCTAGGAAGGTGGTGGGCATAGGCCACATGAAAGGCCTCCAGTGAAGGCTACTGCCTCCCCTGGCTCTGCTGTCCACAGCACCCAAGGTCTCCCTCAGTACAGGCTTGAGCTCAGCAATGTAGGGATGCTGCTGATTTGAGACATCCCACCCACCTATCAGGAACTCCCACATCTATGAGACAGCAACTACCCAGCCTCCAAGAAACTGCTATGTGTCTCTAAGTTCCTGCCCTGATCCTGCCCCAGATCTCCAAGCAGCAGCACAAGAACAAGTTTCCCTTCCCCTTTGCACCAGATCCCATGTGCAGGTTTTGTTCATCCTAGGCAAAGTGAAACAAGAGCACAACACAAGGTTTTCTTATACTGATCAAATATTGATGTAGTGATTCTGAACATCAGGACTGTGCTGCAGCTGAAATGAATATGAAACTCAATCTAAATGCCACAACAGCATCATGATGATGCTATTGTCCCATTTAACAAATTAGTAGCTGACACTCAGAGCACTGAGATCACTTGCTCAAGCCCACATAACTCACAGTGGCAGAGTTGGTCCTGAGCCCTAGCAGCCTGGCCCCAAGCTGTGCACTTCTGCTTTAGCAACCTCCTGAGCAGGGCCCAACCTGAGGAGCAGAGGCACCATCATCCCCTCATGGAACACATGCAGGCCAAGACATGGGAGGACACATCCAAAAATCTCTAATTTCCCTTTTTAACGACATGCATGAACAAGTATATAGACATGGAGAGAAAATAATGGAACAATGGGAAAGACTGCTTTTAAATGCAAAATCCCAGATCATATTTTACAGTTCAGAAGCAAAGAAAGTTAAAGGAAACGTGCAGTGGAGACTGAGAACAGGTCAGGTTTTGCAAAAGCGGCATCAATCACAGAATAAGATGAGTTCAGCCACTTTTCCTGAAACACAGGAGAAAAGGCTGAGCATGCAGAGAAAGCCATAACAGGCAGCATTCATACCTGAGCAACAGCAAATGCACAAAGGTAATTCCAGACATAGAAAATAGAGGAGAGGAGTCAGGAACAAGATTCCAAGAAAAAATAATCTGCCTTGAGGACAAAAAAATCAAAACTGAAAGGGCAAAGACAGTGAATCAGTTGCCGCTCGCGTCCTGAAGGAAAAATAAATTTTCAGGCATCCAATTTGTGGGGCAGTGAGGGAGTTGGGATAGCATGAGCAATCAGGGCAAAAGGTGAAATCCTGTTGCTTCTTCACAATGGTAAGAGTCAGAAGAAGGCAACAGAGCAGATGCTCCTCAGGTGAAAGTGTTCAGAAGACGCACCATCTGTTCATCCTTCTGAGAAAAAAATTACTTGAAGAATTCCTATGTGTTGTCACTTATTATTTCATAACAAGTTACCCCAAACCAGTGTATTTCTCAGGGTTCTCCAGAGCAACAGGACCAATGAGAGAGGTGGCTAGATAGGTGGATAGATGCCTGAAAGGTTTTTTTCCCTCTCAATTTCTGTTCTAGAGTCTCAAATTATAACTTTCATTTTGCTCTTCATCTCTATGATTATCTGGGAAATTACTTCTGTTTCGACTTTCTCTAGAGCCTGATTGATCTATTTTGTTACTTCCTGTGCTTTGAGCTCGGGGTGTCCTGATGGTTCACTGTCAGACTTTTCATCCTCATTTGCCCCACTGTTTGCCACTGGCGAACTGGAAGTCTGTCCCTGTATCTTGCTTAAGCTTTTTCTCATTTTTACTATTGTTGTTGGGTTGTCCTTAGTTTAACCTTTAGGTTGTTACTTAAATCTTCCTGATATAGTTGGGCTTCAGCCCTTGGGTCTCTACTGACTAACAAACATTCTCATTTTCATACTACTGAAGAAAATAGCTCATTGAGTCAATCACCATCCTTTATCCTAATTGATACAATCAGCACCACAAAATGATCAAGCACAACTTGCAAATTGACCACTTGGGGTAGTCATCAGTCTATCACCTTCAAACCATGTGAATGAAATTGAAATCAAGAAGCAATCCAAAATATGTTTGCAGTGAATAAACTTTTCAATAAGGATATTTACCATTTATCCTTAAGACAGAAATAGGATGAGAGGAGTAGATAAGTAAAAGAATTAGAGAAGGTTTCACATGAAGCCAGAAGACGTAGAATGGCCACACAATCATCAGGAAACTGTTAAATTCAATTATTAAAGTAAAAGTATAATAACCCTTGAGTGAGGTAGAATAACATAAGAAAAGAACATAAAGAAAAGAGAAAAAAACGATAAAAGAAAAATCTGAGTTAGGACAGGAGCAGAAACAAAAAGGGAGATGAGGGATAATATGATGGAGCAAGAGACTGAGTTGGAGAAGAAAAGAACATAAAGAAAAGAGAAAAAAACGATAAAAGAAAAATCTGAGTTAGGAGCAGAAACAAAAAGGGAGATGAGGGATAATATGATGGAGCAAGAGACTGAGTTGGAGAAAGAGGACAGAAAAAAAAAGAATTTGCAGAGTGGAATGAAAAAAGAAAGAAAGAAAATGAGTTTGAAGGGCCTCTTTCACACTATATCACTGCTGTCATAATATACAACATGCGCTGCCATGTACAGAACCAAGTCCCCTGTTCTCAGCTAGCTGGTGATAGAACCCCATGACGCAGACTGACCTTGGGCTGCAAGGCCCAGATTGAGTTCCCCGACTTCCTGAAGGGTTAAACTCCACTTAGTTCTACTACAGGTGTCTCCTGCCCCTTCTTTAAATATATTCAAAGTTGGGAGTGCTGCAAAATACCCTTTATGACCACCTCTGCCTCTACAGAGTAGGTCTAAAGCCTAGCACAATCAGGAGGTCTGAAAGTGCATGGGGGTTGGGGGGGTTCCGGGGCGCCTGCGCACCTACCTTCCTGGCACTGTAGATGGTGACAGCCGCGCTGGCAGGGGAGGGTGCAGCACATGCGCTGCCATGTACAGAACCAAGTCCCCTGTTCTCAGCTAGCTGGTGGTAGAACCCCATGACGCAGACTGACCTCGGGCTGCAAGGCCCAGATTGAGTTCCCCGACTTCCTGAAGGCTTGAACTCCACTTAGTTCTACTACAGGTTTCCCTGCCCCTTCTTTAAATATATTCAAAGTTGGGAGTGCAGCAAAATACCCTTTATGACCACCTCTGCCTCTACAGAGTAGGTCTAAAGACTAGCACAATCAGGAGGTCTGAAAGTGCATGGGGGGGTTCCGGGGCACCTGCGCACCTACCTTCCTGGCACTGTAGATGGTGACAGCCGCGCTGGCAGGGGAGGGTGCAGCCCCAGATTCCTTAATCTTGGTTATCCATTTTTTAATTGGGTCTTTTAGGGAGTTTAACTTTTTGAGCTCTTTATGTATTCTAGATGTTGGTTTTCTGTCTGAGGAATAGCTGACAAAATTTTTTTTCCCATTCTGTACTTTTGTCTCTTTACTCTGTTGCTTTTTGCCTTTGCTGTACACAGGCTCTTTAATTTGTTATGAACCCATGTGTTGACTATTTCTTATGCCTTGGGATTCTATTTTATTTTTCAGTTGAGCAGAGAAATACTAGTTCAACCATATATTTTTCCTTAAAGGTAATAACTAGTATAATAAAATAGGATATATGGAGTCTGAAACATGAAGACAAAACCCACGGTGGAAAAATTAGCACTAAAACAAAGGATAGTTTTTTGGGGAAAGACCTAAAAAAGCAGAGACGTTGATTAAAGGGCAGATACTGTGTGAATTATGTTAACCTACTCTGGTTACATAAGAACCTCCTCAGACCAGGCCTATTCCAATCCTCATTTTAAAGATGAAGACACTGAGCTGTTTAAGTAAGTTGCCTGAGTTCATGCAGCTACTAAGGAGTAGATATGGGATTTAAACATAGGGGTCAGTATCCAAAGTCCAAGGTCTCAGAATGCAGCTATTCTCATCACAGGCTCACCAGGCACCACCTCAATTTACTCCTTCCCAGATGGCGACCAGCGGTCACAGTAAGTCCTAGTGGTTTCTCCTCCTCCGTTAAAAGACAGACTGAGACCGAGACAAGATGCTGAGCCCACCTGTCCAGTATTTGCCTGGCACTGAGACGTGTGTGCACCAGCCACAGCCCCTGCCTGGAAATCACAGTGGCTGAGATGTGAAGGAGAAAACTGACACTTTTCATAAGAAGGTTTCACAGCAGGGATGGGGTTCGAGGATCCGGTCCGGAAGGCCACAGACACTGCCTGGGAGAGGTGACATTTGAGCTGAGATATAACCATGAGTCACGGAGGCACCTTCCACAGCAACCCCTTCCGCCCCTCGTCCCACCATCTCCGTCACCATATCCTACTGGTTTTATACCTCCAGTCCCTTCCTGAGTGCTCTTTATTTATTGATGTGCCCATAGCCATCTCCCAGGGCCCAGTGCACTTTGAGTTCCAGGACAGTGAACTCTGGTTGTGTC